GGTGTATATTTCGCCATGTTTAAGAAAAGGTTTTGTGTAATATCTTTTATTTAACCGTGTTTTTCTACCGGAGAACCTAGCTTAGTGTGCGGCTAACCGATGTCCCTTTGCAGAACGAGACAGCACAGAGCACATGAGAGTCCACTACCAGTTATTCACAGTGTCTAATGTTATCTGTGCAGGTATGTAATGTTTAATATGTTTTTTTCTGTACATTTGTTTGTTTTACTATTGGTTAAATGTGCGTTGCACCATTTCGATAAAGTAGAGTTGTGACACATGCATTTCATACATAATTGGCAGCTAGAAAAAGTATTATTTGGTATAAGATATTTCATGATTGTTTATTAAAAACCACTATACGATCACAAGAACTATTTACAATGCTATATTTGGTAAAAAGGTATTGTATTTTTATTTTGATGTGTATTATTATAATTGTATTTTTTTTAATGTGTAATTACAATATTGTAGTTGTTTTAAATATTGTTAACTACAAATTAGGTATACAATTGATTCTTTCTGTCTGGAGAACTCGAGACGAGAACGAGACAGCACAGAGCACATGAGAGTCCACTACCAGTTATTCACAGTGTCTAATGTTATCTGTGCAGATAATAAAACACGACTTCTACCACAAGCTCTAAAGTCTCCATGGGTCATTAAAGAGAAGGCAGGACACACCGGTCACATTGGTGCCGTGACTCGTCGACTGCTTCGAACTGGACTTGTCTTCTCGCTGTGTCGCCCTGGAGCTGCTGTCGTGTCTGCGCTGGACGCCTGCTCTGCATCTCGTCATTGACTCTTAAAGCTATCAACATGAGCTTCAGCAGAACCAACTCACCGTTAGGGTTCGGGAGGGGCCGTGGGTTGCAGTTTTCTCCGGTCCCATTCACTCTTGGAGGTGGTGGAAACGTGGTAGTTAATGATAATGTAACGCCACACATTAGTCCTGCTGCCGATATTAATCAACCTCAGTGCAGTACTGCACAAGAGTCTGCTTTCGAGAATGTTGGATTGGTCAACCAAATGAGTGACATTGTACAACAGATCGGACAGCAGTTAGCGGACAGTATTGTTACAAGGTTGAATACGTCTCCTAATATAAGTGTGCCCAAAGGTCATCAAAGTACACCGGATGAGTGTGAGCCAGTTTACAATCGCACATTAGACCTTTCCCAAGTGGCTTTTGTGCGAACGGGTGCTAAAGAGCCTCCTGCATTTAAAGGGGAGGGTTCAGATTCTGTGTCCATTGATGAGTGGGAAGAGTCAATGAGACATTTTATTTGTAAAAATAGTGTCCCGCTTGAGAGTCAGGCGGAGGAAATCATCGTCCATTTAAGAGGCAGGGCAAAGGACATTGTTAAGTTTGGGATTAGAAATGGTGAAGTTGATGCTAAAAGCAATCCAAATGCCATTTATAGTCTCCTGCGTAAGCACTTTAGCCCCAGTGTTTGCTCCTCGGTACCACTTGCTGACTTTTACTCCACACTGCCAAAAGAGAACGAGGACCCTTATGAGTTTTGGTTGAGGCTGAATAGAGCTGCAGATAATGCTGTGAGCCGTCTTAGTGAGCAAGGTAAAGAGTTTGATAATCCCAGTGTGGAAGTCACCCGTATGTTCATAAGGCACTGTCCCAGCAAAGATCTAGCTCTCACCTTTAGATCCAAAACTATTGATAAGTGGACAGCTCGTGAGGTCCAGGAAGTGTTAGACGAATACCACCTAGAGAGAGGACCAAAATGCTCAAGTGTTAATAACAGAGTTATGATGAACAAGGTTGAACTAAGCCCTAACGTGCCTCATGCAACTAATGTGTCTGATAATTCAACCTTAGAGAGGCTGATTTCAATGCTTGAAAAAGTCCTGTTACAGAATCAGACCACTCTGGCCAGCAGGAAGCCGCGCGGTGATCAGAGATCCCCGAAAGTGAAGGGCTTTACGAGTGCTCCATGTCTGGTTTGTAATAACGTCTCCCACTCGGCACTGACCCACTGCCGCGACAACAATCTGTGTTTCCTGTGCCACTTACCTGGTCATGCCAGACGCGACTGTCCTCAGCATAAACAAACCTCCCACACTGACCAGCAGGGAAACTGAGTGGTCTGCGCGCAGGGGAGGACAGCGCAGATCGAGTTAATGACCCTCCCGCCTTGAATATGGACACTGATCTTGAGTCACTTTATGATACTTTTAGCAGTACTGTGCCGTCTGGTAAAACTGTTATTATGCAAGGCCTGCAGAGACTTTCAAAGACAGACACACTGTTCCACACTGAAGTGGTCACTGAGAACGGACATGTAATAAAGGCACTAGTTGACAGTGGTTCTATGGCATGTACAGTGAATGAAAAAACAGATGCTGAGCTAACAAAGATGTTGCCGCAAGTCGAAAGAGGCACAGCCAAGGACTTTGTTATAGTGGGCTGTGGTGGTCACTTAGTCTCACCCACAGCTCTGTACGATCTCACGCTGACAGTGCATGGTTTTAAAGTTGTAGTCCCTATTCTGGTTGTGCCAGGCCAATCCGATGACTTGATCTTGGGCAGTAATGTTCTGAAATGGCTCATATCCCAGATTGAAGACTCTGAACACAGTGACAAGTTGACACCTTTATTGTCACTTCTGTCCAATACCAAACACATTGATAAAGGGGATTTTCCTGCTAGCCTTGGTACTGCTAAACTAAAGAAGAGTGTCACGCTCCAGCCTTTGACTGAACATTTAGTGTGGGCGAGGTTGCCTGTCGTTGACGCTAATGCTGTGGGTGATTCAGTCCTTGTTGAGCCCACTCATTCCAGGACAAGACCGGCTCAAATCCTGGTTGGCAGGGTTGTTACCTCTCTTTATGGTGATGGTTGGGTGCCTGTTAAAATTGTGAACCCCACTACCAAACCACTCATATTGAGAAAGAATGCTAAAGTTGTGGATGTGTCGTCTTGTTCATCTGTGCAGGACTTACCGGATCCAAAACGTGTACAGTCAAATACTCAGTTCTCTCCGAGCTCACCACCCACTCAAAAGTCTGAGGCTGAGATCAACAAAATCCTGTGTGACATGGGCCTTCAAGAACTTGATGTCATGTCTTGTGAGGTAACTTTGGAGTGGAAGAATAAGTTACTACACACTATCGAACAGTACGAGTCTATATTTTCGAGGCACAAAATGGACTGTGGTGAGGCGAAAGACTTTGTCCACCGGATTCGTCTGTTGGATAACAAGCCATTCAGATTCCCTTACAGACGTGTCCCGCCATGCCACTATGACAAACTCAGGACTGCTTTGAGTGATATGGAGGTGTTGGGCATAATCAGGAAGTCTCAGAGCGAGTACTCCTCTCCGCTTGTCCTTGTAGTGAAGCCCAATGGTGATCTGCGCATTTGTAATGACTTCAGATGGCTTAATGCGAGAACTGTGAAAGATGCGCACCCTTTGCCCCATCAAACAGACGCGCTTTCTGCGCTTGGTGGCAATGTGTTTTTTTCTACCATGGACCTCACTTCAGGTTTCTATAATGTCAAGCTGCACGAGGATGACAAGAAATACACAGCCTTCTCCTCACCGTTTGGCCTCCATGAGTACAATAGGATGCCGCAAGGCCTAACAAACAGTCCTGCCACTTTTATGCGCATGATGATGTCGATTTTTGGAGACGAGAACTTCACAAGTCTGCTATGTTACCTGGACGATCTTCTTGTGTATGCACCTTCCGAGCAGATCGCCCTTGAACGCTTGGAAATGGTTTTTTCGCGTCTAGCTGCTAACAACCTCAAGCTTTCGCCCAAAAAGTGCCATTTCCTCCAGCGCTCTGTTAAGTTTCTGGGCCACATAGTTTGTGAGGATGGTGTCATGACTGACCCAGGCAAGGTTCAGACCATCAATGAAGTACAGGAGAGTGACCTCATGGAGTCAGATGGTGTAACTCCCAGTGCTAAGAAAATCAGGTCCTTCTTAGGAATGGTCTTGTATTACCACCATTTTATTGAGGCGTGTTCAGCTAAAGCTAGGCCATTATTTAGTCTGGTGTCAGAGCCCACTACATCTAAGAGAAAGAGGGGTAGGCATCCTAAACCGAAGTTTAAGAAGGGTTTAGTGAGGTTGGCACCTTCTGACTGGACTGATGACTGTAGACACGCTTTTGAGACTCTGAAACACGACTTGGTGCACTGTGTGACGTTGGCTCATCCAGACTTTGACGCTCCCTTTATTCTTGCGGTAGACGCTTCTTTTGACGGTATAGGCGCTGTCCTCTCGCAACTCCCCCCTGGTAGCGAAATCGCCAGGCCCGTGGCTTTTGCTAGTAAGACTCTCTCCCATTCCCAGTTAAACTACCCGGCACATCGTCTGGAGTTCCTGGCACTTAAATGGGCGGTTTGTGAGAAATTTAGCCATTGGTTGAAGGGACGGACTTTTCTGTGTGGACTGACAATAACCCGCTCACGTACATTTTGACAAAACCAAAACTTGACGCTTGTGAGCAGAGATGGGTCGCTAAACTTGCTGCTTACAATTTTGATCTTAACTATGTCCCTGGTGCTAAAAATGTAGTCGCTGACGCGCTGAGTAGAGAGCCTTTTGTTAAGTCTTGCATTGCCCACCGTCTGGTCACTGAGCCATACTCATTCCTGCTTGCCCAGATCAGTGAGGTAGCTGACAGGAAAGTCCAGGATGCGTTCAGGTGCACTAATAACTGCCAGATAGTGGAGAGTCAGTTTGAGCGTTCTATTAGTTCACCTCAGCTGTCCTTTGATGATGTTCAGGCTGTGTTGGGTGCTCACGTCGATGGTGTCAGCCAAATCAGAGGTGCTGGTCCGGACATCCCACAACTCACTGGCGTGGACCATCATGCCTCCTTGCCAAAAAGCCAACTTGCCAACATTCAAGAGCAGGATGAAATCTTGAACCGTGTTTTTTATTATGTCCAGAGGCACAAGAGACCCTCAAGACATGAACGTGCTGATGAGTCTTGTGGTGTCAGGAAGTTACTCAGACATTGGCCCAAACTTTCAATCAGAGATGGCATGTTGTACAGATCAAAAAAGGACATTAAAATGAACGTGACGATAAACCAGTTTGTTGTGCCGGACTCTTTAAAGACTCAGGTACTGAATGGACTTCACGACTCGGCTGGTCATCAAGGACAGGCTCGAACGCTGTCGTTGGCCAGACAAAGATTCTTCTGGATTGGAATGGAATGTGACGTTGTCAACCATGTTAAAAACTGTTTCAGGTGTCTGGTTGGAAAAACCCCTGAACCCAAGGACCGTGCACCCCTTGAAAGCATTCACACCTCAGAGCCGATGGAACTGGTGTGCATCGACTTTTGGACTGCTGAACAAACAGATAAGAAGTGTGTTGATGTTTTGGTTGTCACACTGATCATTTTTCTAAACTTGCTCACGCTTTCCAGTGTAAAAATCAGTCAGCTAAACAAGTCGCTCGTCGTCTCTGGAATGACTTTTTCTGTGTTTACGGCTTCCCAAAAAGGATTCATTCAGACCAGGGTGCGAATTTTGAGAGTCAACTCATAAGAGAACTGCTGGAGATGGCTGGTGTCCAGAAATCGCACACCACTCCGTACCACCCGATGGGGAATGGTATAGCGGAAAGATACAACAGGACTCTGGGAAACATGATACGTGCCCTACCCCCAAACTCCAAGGCTAGGTGGCCTCAGATGTTACAGACTCTGACATTTTGTTACAACTGTACCGAACATGAGACGACAGGGTTTGCACCTTTTTATCTTATGTTTGGGCGCATCCCGCGTCTCCCTGTAGATGTTGTTTTCCAAAATGTGCTTCATAACAGTTCTGTCGTTAGCCACCGTGAGTTTGTTGCCGTACTGCGACGCGACTTGGCTGAGGCGGCGCGTATCGCCCTAAAACACAGCAGGTCTGAGCAAGTTCGGCAGACCGATAACTACAACCGCAAAGTTAAAGGCTCACCCCTTACCATTGGAGACAGAGTCTTGCTCGCAAACCGTGGTGAGAGAGGAAAGAGGAAAGTAGCGGACAAATGGGACTCTAAAGTATATGAGGTTATATCTGTGAAACCTGAGATCAATGTGTATTCCATCAGGGACCCTCTCACTCAGAAAGTCAAAGTTGTTCACAGAAACCTTCTCCTCCCTGTGAGTTTCCTCCCGGCTGGTGATGGAGACCCACCGGAGTCTGATGGCCCTTCTCAAGCCCATAATAGTGTCCCCTGTGATCCTGACATTCCTGTTGAAGTACAGGACAGTGAGACAAAAACCGCGCAATGGCTTTTACGGACTGATAATGTCAGTGACGAAGACGCTTCTGTTAGTCAAATTTGTGTCTCTGATGGTGACTCTGTGGATGGCCAGTCTCCTGAGGCTGATGTTGAGACACAAATGACGAGTCCTACTGTGAGTTTATCCCAGCCCCATTCTCGTGAGTCTAGTTGTGCCCGTCCTTTCAAGCAGTCGAGCCACGAACTTAGCACTCAGCCTCTACCCCTCCGTACTAGAACTGGTCGAGATGTCAGGCCTCCTGTTCGTTTGGTGTGTCAAATGGGTCAAAGAGTTGTTGATGATGTATCTTCAGCGGTTTCTCTTGTGAGGTTCTTGTGGGGTTCCTCAGGTTAAAGAGAACCTGTTTTGGTATTGTATTTTTTTTTCGTTTTCCTTTGAGGTAGTCATACATAGAAAATATGAAGAAAATGCTGAGATTTTTTTTTGTATGTGGAGTGAGAGCATTGTTTGCCTTATGAGGGATGTAAACGGCATCTCTTGAGTCTCTGCTGTTAAAGGGCTTAGCTATCCCTTTAGCAAGCTTAATCCCAAGTGGATAGTGATTGTTTCTGACTTGAACTTGATATTGCTCTTCAATCGCACAGTTTGTCGCATTATTTTTTTTCTCTGTTAGGATGAACCACAATTTAGCAGGATTTAAGAGGGGTGTATGTAACATAGTTATTAGAGTACAATTAAATCCACGTAAATTGTGGACACAGCGCCATCTTCTGGCGTTTGCCATACCTGCACCCTTAGTTCGCGCGGAAAGTCCCGAGTTCTTTCACTGTCTGGAGAACTCGAGACGAGGTAACATGTCCGTGAATTTGTGTGGACAGAATTATTAGTTTACTCATGTGTAGCCATTGAAATGCTAAGCTAGTGATTAATTGTTGTGTAGTATTTAGCTGGTGTATATTTCGCCATGTTTAAGAAAAGGTTTTGTGTAATATCTTTTATTTAACCGTGTTTTTCTACCGGAGAACCTAGCTTAGTGTGCGGCTAACCGATGTCCCTTTGCAGAACGAGACAGCACAGAGCACATGAGAGTCCACTACCAGTTATTCACAGTGTCTAATGTTATCTGTGCAGGTATGTAATGTTTAATATGTTTTTTTCTGTACATTTGTTTGTTTTACTATTGGTTAAATGTGCGTTGCACCATTTCGATAAAGTAGAGTTGTGACACATGCATTTCATACATAATTGGCAGCTAGAAAAAGTATTATTTGGTATAAGATATTTCATGATTGTTTATTAAAAACCACTATACGATCACAAGAACTATTTACAATGCTATATTTGGTAAAAAGGTATTGTATTTTTATTTTGATGTGTATTATTATAATTGTATTTTTTTTTTATGTGTAATTACAATATTGTAGTTGTTTTAAATATTGTAACTACAAATTAGCTATACAATCGATTCTCACTGTCTGGAGAACTCGAGACGAGAACGAGACAGCACAGAGCACATGAGAGTCCACTACCAGTTATTCACAGTGTCTAATGTTATCTGTGCAGATAATAAAACACGACTTCTACCACAAGCTCTAAAGTCTCCATGGGTCATTAAAGAGAAGGCAGGACACACCGGTCACACCTGTGTGTGTGTGTGTGTTATCCCTGTGTGTGTGTATGTATGTGTGTGTGTTATCCCTGTGTGTGTGTATGTGTGTGTGTTATCCCTGTGTGTGTGTATGTGTGTGTGTTATCCCTGTGTGTGTGTATGTGTGTGTGTTATCCCTGTGTGTGTCTATTTTTCGCCTCCTAATACATTTCAGTGATAGTTTTATAATCGCACTAAGTTCTGACTCTATTTCCTGCCAAGCAGCAGTTCAATATTACATTTCTGACCCAGAACTAAATCGGTTCATATGTAACTGTTGCTATTCAGCAGTGAAGCACACGGTGGCGCTGTTTCTCTTCATAAACTCTTCAATTGCAGACGTTAGCTGTAATATTTGTAGTCACTCACCTGGAGTTTGTTAAGTCCCCTAACGAAGCTAACAAAGCTAAATTTAGATAACGATGCTAAGCTAACTAAGCTAAGTAAAAACAAATGAATCTAACTAACTCGCTCCAACAGCATCATTAGGGCACTGTGCCTACGTTATTATGTGTAAAGAGACCTACCTTTTTGTAGATGTTTGTTATCATTAAACCAGTTAAATCAGAGAGAGGCCGTTGCCAAGGTAACCGCAGTCGCCATCTTGTGTATGTAAAAACTCACATCTAACGCTTGTTTCTAAGGTCCTAGGTTCGATTCCACCTACAATCATGGATTCTTGGGTCAATAAAGACAGTCTTAGTGTTATATGTTGAATGCTGTGTTGAAACTCGAAAACATTTTCTGAATCAGTTGCCAATGTCAGATTGTTTTGGTATCGACTCAGCCCGCCTAGAACCAGGGCCAAGCTGTTACTTTAAAAAGTACCGGGTAGCGGCTAAAGCGAGCCGGTGTTATTAACTTATGCCTCTGCATCAGTCCCAGCCCAAACTAAAAAGACATTCAAAGAGAAAATAACAACAAAATTATAATTAAAATAGAGATTTTGAGACATAACAACATAAAGTGACCTCTTCCCCGACACGGGATTTCAGAGGAAGAGGCAGCGGAAAACCCCAAATTTATAGTGTGGGACCATAGACTGTATATATTATATGTATATATATTATGTGGGACAGGGGGTACACAAAGAAGAAAGAAAAACACGGGAGTGGCTGGAGGAGCGGCTCCACAAATCATAGACCAGGACTAAAAACAATTATAAAATAATAAAACTTGTAATAAAAATACAGTATTAACTTTTGAGAGAAGTCACTAAAATGAACTTTGCTACACGAGCGAGTGTGTGCCTGTGTTTGTGTGTGTGTGTGCGTGTTTGTGTGTGTGCCTGTGTGTGTGCCTGTGTTTGTGTGTCTGTGTGTGCCTGTGTGTGTGTGTGTGTGTGTGTGTGTGTGTGCACTTGTTTTCAACTCCTAGTGGGTTCCATAACCTGAGATTCCACTCACGTCATGGGGACTGGTTTTACGTGGTGGGGCCCGAACACCGGACCCCACTGGTCCAAGCTTAATAATCAATGGGTAATGCTTTTCTAACGGTCCTTATGCAGTCTCTGTAAAAATATGGAAAGGACCCCTGGAGGTTTACTTTCCTGAAAAAAGTGTGTTATGTGTCGGAACCCTGGTGGTGGGTTGCGGGATATCAAGGAGGGGCACACTGGGGCAATTTCAGTCCAGCAGGCTGGAGCCAATCATGGAGCAGCACAACAGAGGAAGTCAGGTGAAAAGGTGCAAGTGTGTGGTTCATTAGGCTGCAAGACATCATGGAGGAGCACACTGAAGCGCACGCTTACAACCCACTGGTAAGTGCTGACTACAAGTCATGACTTCAAATTGTTATATAGAATTATTACAAATTATTTGTTGTTTGTGCAGCTTAGTCAAGAGTCCCTAATTGATGAAGTCGACTCAGATTCTGACGATTTAACTGTCAAGAAGAAACCTGTAAAAAAGTATGGAAAAAGAAAAATCAAAAACACTTTTCTTCAAGACTCGGAAAGTGACGAACCAAAGGCAAATAAGATTGTTATCATGCAGCTGCAAAAGAAGAAAAATGGGGGCAGGGTTTACAGCAAGAGACACTTCTGCCTCTACTGTTCAATGTCCTGCCACAAAATGTCCCGTCATTTGACTAGAAAACATGGAAATGAAAGTGACGTAGCCAGAGCATTGGCTCTACCTGTGAAGTCTAAAGCATGTAAACTTCAGTTTGATTTGATCAGGAATAGTGGAAACCGTGAGCACAATTTTGAGGTTTTAAAGGCCGGCATTGGAACTTTAGTCCCAGCTAAACAGCCAAATTCCCCAGTTAAATCCAGTGAGTTTTTGCACTGTATAGACTGTGGGGCATTGCTTAAGCGAAAGTCGCTGTGGAGGCATGTGGCCAGGTGCCGGCTTTCACAGAAAGATGCCCAGGCTAAACCAGGTAGAAGTAGGGTCCAGTCCCTCTGCTCCCTAGCCCAGCCTGTACCGGAGGGCATCAGCAAAAAGCTGTGGTCTTTAATTTCGGCAATGCATCAGGATGAGGTCACGGGTGTTGTCAAAGCAGAAAAGGGGATTCTGAGACTCGGAGAGCACCTGTACTTAAAACACGGGCATGATAAGACTAAGCATGATTACATTAGGCAGAAAATGAGAGAAGTCGGTAGGTTAATTAACGAAGCAAAAACCGCAGGGAAACTGAAAACAATTAAGGATTTCTTTATTCCTTCCAACTTTAACCATGTGATTGATGCAGTCAGGTCTGTGGCTGGATATGATGAGGAAACAAATCAATACAAGACTCCATCCTTGGCCCTCAAACTCGGCCATAGCCTCAGAAAGCTAGCAGATATTCTTGAATGTGACTCAAAAATGGAGCATTGTGTTGATGAACTATTTATTAAAAACCTCCAACGAAGCCGGCTGCTTTTTGAGAAGAGGTGGGACGTCTGTGTTTCTTCTGCTGCCCTACAGACCCTCCGGCAAGCCAAGTGGAACACTCCGGACCTGCTCCCTCTGACTGAGGACGTTAGAGCCATGCATGCACATATTGAGGTATGTCGACCTGAATATGTGCAAACCCTAATAAGTGAGCCAACGTCTAAGCATTGGTCTAAACTGGCAGTTTTGACTCTTTGTGAGGTCATCATTTTCAATCGAAGAAGGGAAGGTGAGGTTTCAAAGATGCCACTGACAGCCTTTACCTTAAGAAGTAAGACTGGGATCCATTCTGACATTGCTCTGGGACTGTCCCAACTTGAGAAAAAGCTGTGTCAGCATTTTCAACGCATTGAAATTAAAGGGAAAAGAAGTCGGAAAGTGCCGGTTCTTTTGACTCCTGAAATGATTGCTTCGATGGAGGTGCTGGTGGAGAACAGAAGGGCCTGTTCCAT